AGAAGAGGAGCGAACATCTTCGTTACCATCCTCTGAAAAGTCGCCCCGGCGTTCTTTAGTCCAAACGGCATGACTTTGTAGCAATATAAGCCTCTGGGGGTTGTGAACGACGTGATCTCTTTGTCCGGTTTATACATGGCTATCTGGTGGTAGCCGCGATATGCGTCCAGGAAGCTAAACCTCTGATGGCCAGCGGTTAAGTCCACCAGCTGGTCAATTCGTGGGAGGGGAAAGCTATCCTTGGGGCAAGCTCGGTTGACAGTCTTGTAGTCAATGCAGACTCGCCACTTGCCGTTCTTCTTCGGAACAACCACCGTGTTGGATATCCACTAAGGGTACTGCACCTCCTCTATGGCCCCAGCTTCCAACAAATTCTTTACTTCTTCTGTGACCACTTCAGCATGGTGCAAGGCTGAGCGGCGCGTCCTTTGAATGACTGGCCGTGCATTAGGGAAGACATTCAACTGATGACAAATGAAGCTCGGGTCGATGCCAGGCATGTCGTAAGGCGTCCAGGCAAAGGCCTCCAAATTGGAAATCAAGAAGTTGACATAATCCATCCGCTCGGCGTTAGACAAGGATGATCCCAAGAGGAAGAATTTAGTTGGATCGTTCTCGTCAATGCGCACTTCCACTAAATCTTCGATCGACTTTTCCTCGGCCTTTCTTCCCACGTCTTCAAGGACCTCTTTACCCTCGGGCCCTTCAATCATTTGGACGAACCCTTTGGCCGTTTGGCTGCCATTTACCGCAACGAAGCATTGTTTCGCCATCACTTGGTCCCCCCAAACTTCCTCTATTTGTTCGTTCGGTGCCGGAAAGCGCATGACTTGGTGGAAGGTCGAAGCAACTGCTTGCATGGCGTGCAGCCAACCCCTGCCTAAGATCAAGTTGTAAGTTGATGGAACTTTAAGCACCTAGAACTCTACTTGCTTTACAACCGATCCCGCTTTGACCGGCAAAATAATCTTTCCGATTGGCCATTCTGGCTGTGAGTTGAAGTCGACCAAATGGGACGTTGCGGGGGCCAAGTCCTTGTCTTCCAACTTCATTTGTTTAAACGCGTCATAATACATAATTTCTACCGAACTCCCCTGGTCGATCAAGATTCTCTTGATGTCAAAGTCTTTGACGCGAAGAGTGACTACTAAAGCATCATTGTGCGGCATCTGAACTCTTTCCAAGTCCTTGGTTGAGAATGAAAGGATGTCCCTTTCTTCGGTCATTCCCTTCTTCACAGCGGGCTGAACAGAGAGCACTTCCCTCATGTGCTCGGCTTTCTTGATCATCCCTCTCAGCTCGCAAACCCTGGCCGGTTCAATGATACCGTGGATGACGTTGATTACACCTTGCGGGGGCGCTTCTAGGGCGGCCAGGCCATTTGGCTCGGCTTGGTCCGCTGGCGTGGCCTTGATGCCCCCATCTATGTATTGGTCAAGATGCCCCGCCGCCACCAACTCCTCTAAGTGTTGTTTGAGCGGCAAGCAGTCCTTTGTTTGGTGTCCCCGTTCTTCATGAAAGGTGCAGCGATATTTTGAATTGAAGCCCCTCTGCGCACTCCCCAACTTGGCCGGCCAACGGACGAAGGGTTCACCTCGAATCTCGCTCAAAATGCGGTAGATGGGGATTTTAAATACCGTGGTGATCCTAGTCCGCGCCATCAATTTTCTTTTGGCATCCTCCGCTGCATCACGGGGAGGGTCAGCCCGATCGTTTCGGCGGCCCTTGTTTCTGTCATCACGGTTTGAACCATGGCGCTGGTCTTTCGATCGGTTGTTTGGGTGGTTATCCTCCTGTCCAACCGAGTGAACTTTCCCCGCAACCCTTCTGTCCGCCGCGACCGGATTAGCCTTCTCGGTCGCGGAGGCAACATCATCCTCCACACGAATGTGCTCATTGATCCGCTGCATCAATGACTCCATGGTTGTGGGTTGATGCATCGTGAGTGAATCTCGCAGCCTATGTCCGACTGGGAGACCCCGTTTGTACTGAGTGATCGCCAGATTGGTGGGGCAGTCGAGGATCTCATTGTAAGTTTCCCAGTATTTCGCATTGTATGCCTTCAACGAACATCCAGACTCCATCTTGACGCCCAGGAGATGGTCGACCTCCTTCGGCGTTCGTGTGTTGGTTTTGAATCTGGTGACGAAGGCTTCAGCTAGTTGCTGCCACCCCTCAATACTCCCCTCCGGGAGCCTTTCGAACCAATTCAAACCCAGCTCTCCCAGGCTTGCTGGGAATATGAGGCACATCAAGGCGTCATTCCGCCGGTGTCCAGCCATTACTTGCCGGTAATGGCTCACATGCATGTATGGATCCGTCTTGCCGTCGTACAAAGTGAACTTTGGCTGGTGGAATCCGGCGGGGAGTGGCATACTCTCAATCTCTGGAGACAGCGGCGTGGC